TGCTCAGCAGGGAGTCTGCTTCTCCCTCTGACCCTCCTCCCTCTCATGCTCTCTGTATCTCATTCTCTCTGTCTCAAATAAATAAATAAAATCTTAAAACAAAACAAAACAACAAACAAACGCTCAGGCCCCCAGCTGCAGACTTGACTACGCCATCTGCAGCAGGAGGAATGGGTGTGTATAGGTGTAGGCATGCGTGTGTGAGCACAGGTGGACGCAGGACAGTGTAGCCCCGCATGGTGAAGGAGAACTTGATGCAGCAAAAGCTGGGGCACTTTAAAAACTCTTAGATTTCAAAGCTAATTATGATTATTTTGGGTCTTGCTGTTCTATCTTTAAGTCTTACCAATGAGCTAGTTAATGCTTAGAACGGGAGGTCGGACCTGAAATCACAGTAGCAGGTTCAGGGTCACAGCTATTTCCTGACTCGACTTTGTGCCCACATGACACAATGGTCCGTATTTTTTTTGGAAAACAAACACCACATTAACATGCATTTACTGGACCTTTGCAAAAAGCTCAAATAGAAGTTGTTGAACAATTATGCAATTCCCTGGGTTAAGCCAAGGAAGAAACTAGTTCAATATTTACAGGAAGGATGAGACTTGCTGGCAAATCATTTTCTCTTTCTGTTCTACCACTAAGGTTGAAAATGAATACTTTTGCACCAAACTGTACCAGCCTCAACTAGAGGTACTCAGAGGGTAGTGACACGGCCCACCCACAGGATGCTCAGTGTTGGTAAGATATTGGCACAATCTACTTTCAAACTGTGACAAGACACAGCAGGCAACTGTGATACCATGAGAAAGATAGGCTCCCCTTACACAAGTCAACAAACTCCGTGCAAACAGGAGATGCAGGAACTACTTAATTTCCCCTTACTTTTGGGGTCAGGTCAAATTTCCACTGTACTCGAGAAAGAGACAAACTGATTTGTAAGGCCCAGCCTCACCATCCTCGTATCTCCCAAATCACAACTTCATTTACTGTTTACGAATTTATCACTTATAAAACAAAATAGGGGCACCTTGCTCAGTTGGTTAAGCGTCTGCCTTCGGCTCAGGTCATGATCCCAGGGTCCTGGGATCGAGTCCTGCATCGGGCTCTCTGCTCAGTGGGGAGTCTACTTCTCTCCCTCCCTCTAAGCACCGCACCCTCCTCGTGCTCTCACTCTCTCTCTCAAATGAATAAATTAAAAATTTTTTTAAAAATTAAAAAATAAAACTTCAAAGAACATCAAACTTGACATATTCATATTTTGATCATCTAAAAACTAATCTACTTGTACTAATGTGCTCTGGTGGCCTTTCCCTCTTTTTGGGTCAGGATTGTTCTATGTCAGTAAGAGAGCCAGAAGCTGCCCCCTCCCAGAGCAAACACTCATGGGGAGAGGGGAGTAACAGTAACATGCAAACTGTCTAGGCAACTTTACAAGAACCTCCTTAACTCTAAATGGGGACAAAAGAAATAACAGAGACCCATGGATTTTGTAATTTCTTTCACACCATTCAGCTAGCTTTTTTTTTTTTAAGCTAACTTTTGTGCCCAACTTCTGTTTTGGAAACAGATGAGAACCATAATTTTAATCCAGTATCTCCTAACAACTCAGAATGAAGTAAATTTAAATATTTTCTTAATTAAAAAACACAGAAAATAAAAATCTATGGGTAGTGAATTAATTTGTTGGGCTCCCAAAACAAGATGGTGAAAGGGGATAATCTGGGACTAGTTTAGAGAACACAGAACTGAGTTAGGTCTAGAAGAAACTGCCTAATGTGCAAGTCAGAGAGGAGGGGAGTGACAGAGGGGATGAGCAAGCAGAGCCGGGAGCTGCAGGCCATGAGGTGGGAGATGAATGACTTGCGGTGGAAGGGAAGAAACGTGCCCTGAAATCAGTCATCTGGCAACAAACGACTCCTTCGCCGAAGCAGACTTGGTACCGTGGACATTACACAATAAGGCCACACAAGGTGGGTGCGCTTGGGAAGCTGGGAACCTTGTATGGAGCCTGTGTTTCACTGAAACTAGGTTTGACACTGGAGATGGACTCAAGTGGAAAAGTTAATGGTTAAAAATGTTCAGATAAAGAATGCAGATAGCCAGATATCTGTGTCAACTATGAGGAGAAACTGCACGGCTGGTTTCTTATTGGCATTCTATGCCCAATAATTATTGGTTCCTTTTGTGCTCCTTCCATGATTAGGAACCATATTTACCACTTCAAAAGTGAAGTAGCTACCAAATTAACAAGAGTAGGGTAGAATACCTCTCTGGTATCACAATGCATTTGGAATTCTGTGACTCATTTTCTAGGGAATTTTTAAGATGTCTCTAGGAATGTAAAGGTTACATGTAATCTTGTGGGTTAAGAATGGTTACAGGCTAGAGGGGCGCCTGGGTGGCTCAGTCGGTTAAGCATCCGACTCTTGGTTCGGCTCAGGTCATGATCTCAGGGTTGTGAGATCAAGCCCTGTGTTGGGCTTCACGCTCAAAGCAGAGTCTGCTTCAGATTCTGTCTCCCTCTCCCTCCCCGCTCTGCCCCTGCTTGCATGCACATGAGCGTGCTCTCTCTCTCAAATAAATAATACAAGCTTAAAAAAAAAAAAAAAAAGGCATGGTTACAGACTAGAAACATTGCAATATTACCTGCTGGATAAGAAGGCTCCCCCTCACCCCTCAAAATAACCCTCTGGAAACAATCACCAGGACCACCAAAAGAGACTGTATCTAAATTCTGGTACCAGTTCATGCCCATATATATACCAAATAACTATAGACCCCCCCAGAACCTGTTTCCCCCTACCTGAGACGGAGGGGAGGTGGAAAAAGAGGTGGTACACACTTCTTGAGAATCTTCCACAGAAGGATATGTTACTCCAGTGTCCTCACCAGCAGTTCTATGATGCGGGGAAAATAAATCATCAATTTTATAGTGACGGCAGCTGATTTGAGAAGGACACAGAGGGAGGTTAGATAAGGATGCAAGTTGTGACAAGAGCTGTTTCAGGCAGAGCTCAGTATGGCAAAAGAGGCGTGGTGAGTCCTCGATAATGTCAAACATACCCCAGAGAACAACATCTAGAGGTTGACCAAGGCTTTTATTTTTAACCCAAACATCCTACCTGACATATGATTTGAGAATATTTTCTTAAGCCTGGCCAGTGTTGGGACTAAAGAACTGTCAGCAAAAGAGATGCAGTGAAACAAAAATCCAGACTCCAAAGATGACCCCATCCAACTTCAAAAGTCCTTCCCATAAAGGCAGTATCCTTCCTGATACACATCTGTTCCGACCTCTACAGAATTCTGTTTTCTGGGATCTGAGTCTGCTTCAGATTCTCTCTCCCTCTCCCTCCCCACTCTGCCCCTGCTTGCATGCGCATGAGCCTGAAGATTCTAATCTCTAACTAAACTGTGCCAATGGTCACCAGAAAACCATTTAATTTGTGAAGGGCATTCTGTTTATTACTGCCACTCTTGTAGCTTCTAAGTAAAATCAAATTGAAAGTCAAATCACTACCGTCAAGATCCAAAATGTCCAAGAATTTTCTCAGTCTGTATATTCCAAGGCTTGGTGTACCTTACAGGCAGCAGCAGGAAGGGAAGCTAACCACTCCATTTCTCTCCCTGTGGGGTCTCCATCACTGCGCCCTGCCCACTGGTGAGTGCTGAGAAAGGTGCTCTATGTACAAGATGAATGCCTCTCCCTAGCTGCAGTTTGGGAAAGCCCCTACACATTCCTCACCTGTAATTACAGGGGTGCATGGGTGAGGAGCTGGGATAGGGACGGTCCACAAAGTGATCAATGATAATCCCCATGATAGGTGGAGTCCTCTCAAACTGCCTGTAATGCAATAAGCAGATGACAATATTTGTTAGAATGCCTTGTCAGCCCCCCTGAAGTCTTCAGAGGACCCCTCACCTTATATCTATTGGCAGGTACCACTAGAGTCTTAACTATTGCATCCCTAAATATAAACCACAACCCTACATTGATGGCTCTGAGACACTCAGATTCTTCCATCTGGAAACGGGGCTCTCTCTCTGAGTTTATTTTCCAGAAGGGGACTGATTTCAGCAATGGCAAAGCTGAACTATAAGCTTAGCCACGGAGTTTGAGGGAAAAACAAACTTTAATATCTTGAATTCATCTTTGGAAGAGCTCTTTTGGATTCCAAGGTTCTTTCCTCACCTGGTAGACATAAATGCCAAGTTAATTCTGTAAGCACAAGAAAGAGTGATGGTGCCCACAGGGGTGCCTACTGTCCCAACACGAACTGTCTGGAAACCTAGAAGAAGAAATATACAATTAGCTTTTCCCTAGAGAACACTGACACTGTCTCTAGTCTGGCTTTCCCTGAATCATGCAGCCTATCATACAATCTCTGGCTTTATCTATTTCACACCATGAGTGCAGCAGCCTCAATTTCATATAGGTTTATGTGTGTGTGTGTATATATATTTTTTCTTTTGATTTATTTTATATGACCTAATATTGGAAGGGAAATCAGAATTCTATTTCCAGATAAACCTACCTTCAAAGAGGCAAAACAAACTGTTAGTCCTAAAGTCTGAGCAAGTCCTAACCAACCTGGCCCAAACGTGTCACATGCCCAGTGAGACAGGAAAGGGGCCCTGGGGCTTTATCACACGAAGCCCTCGGTTTATGTAGGCACAGAAGTGACTGCACTTCTACTCATGCTGCCCCCCAGAACTAAGTATAGGAAAGAGCCGGGGCCTTGCAGGCGATATTTCCAACAAAGCTTTCCTGGTTTTCTTGGTTTCATGCCCAATTTTCAAAATTGCTTATGCTCATCAGAAACATTTAACATGCTCATTATAGAAAATTAGGAAAACAGACAATATGGTATAAAGAATAAGAAAAAATACTGAGTTACTAGAACTCTGGGGAAAATTATTCAGTCATTCCCTGGAAGCTCTTTGGACCACCCACCGGTCTTTTCCTTACTTGTATCACACCTATTAGAATCACAAGCTACATATTATGACAGGCAGCATCCAAGCCCATCTCTGAAGTCAGGAAGGCTCTTAACACTACAAATGCTTTTCAACCTTGATACATACCTTCTCCTAAGCCATTCAGCTGAACTTCCCCAAAATATATCCTTAGGAAAGAAAGAAAAAGAAATAAATGATTCTTTATTCTAAGGGCCTCTAAAGCCAAAACAAACAAAACAAACCCTTCCTTTCTCATCTGCATGACCATTTCTCCTAATGGAGCAATAATGTCACTACTTCAAGTAAGCTGCAGGCATAGGGATGTATATGGGAAGAATTGGCTAAGAAATAAGGAAAATAATAATTAAGTGGAGCCTGTAATTTTAGTTTCTTCTTCCTGCTCCTGCAATGTATTTTTAAAGTATACCTCCTGGGGAATAAAGAATCTAGAAATAAGATTCACAAAAAGATCTCACACCACTATTAGAAAGTACTAGATTTTTTTTTTTGAGGTATGTTCACCAAATAAGATTATATTAGTTTCAGATGTACAACAAGACTCCATATTTGTTTATATTACAAATTGATCATCACAGTATGTCAGGTTAACATCCATCACCTACATACAAATGTTTTTTTCTTGGGATTAGAACATTTAAGATCTCCTTTCTTAAGGGGAACCCTCTTACACTGTTGTTGGGAATGCAAACTTGTGCAGCCACTCCGGAGAACACTATGGAGGTTCCTCAAAAAGTTAAAAATAGAACTACTGTACAACCCAGCAATTGTTCTACTAGGTATTTTATCCAAAGGATACAAAAATACTGATTCAAAGGGGCACATGCACCCCAATGCTTACAGCACCACTTATCAACAATAGCCAAATTATAGAAAGAGCCCACATGTCCATCAGCTGATAAATGGATAAAGAAAATGTGACATATGTATTTATTTCCGTTATATATTCCTTATATATAGATTCCATATAAATAATTTCCATTATATATTCCATATATACATATACTCAGCCATCAAAAACAACGAAATCTTGCCATTTGCAATGATGTGAATGGAACTAGAGTATAATATGCTAAGTGAAAGAAGTCAGTCAGAGAAAGACAAATACCATATGATTTCACTCATATGTGGAATTTAAGAAACAAAACAGATCAACATAGGGGAAGGGAAGGAAAAATAAAATAAGATAAAAACAGAGAGGTAGGCATATCATAAGAGACTTAACTACAGAGAATACACTGAGGGTTGCTGGAAGGGCGGGGGGTGGGGGATGGGTTATATGAGTGATGGGCATTAAGGAGGGCACTTGTGATGAGCACTGGGTGTTACATGGCAACTTTCAAATATGCAATAGAAGGTACCAGATTTTGAGAGTGGTCTTCAATTAAGGGGAGCTCTCCGTGCTTGTCACAAGTCATTCCAAAGTAAACTGCTTAAGAAATTCGAAAATCTTTTCCATTATAGAAGAATTACATAAGACTATTCTGAAAATACAAAAATATAAGCACAGCAGAACTTTTCTCTGAATTTTCCTGGGAAGGGCAGTCTATATTAGCTATAGGTCTGAACTATAAACCATTACAAACTACACTACAAAACATTATTATACTTTTCTAGTAATATGGTTAAAAATTAAACACATATCATGGCTTTGTTCAATTAAAAACAAAGCTCCAACAATGTACAAAGCCCTATGGTTAGGCGTTAAGCATGAGATAAGAATAAGCTAGGGATGAGATTCAGGGTAAATCTGAAGCCTAGGTCTCACAAATTGTAATACATGAACGAAAGGGACAGACACCATAAAGCAGGGGTCAGCAAATTTTTGTTAAAAGGATCAGATATTTAAGGCTTGCAGGCCATACAGTCTGAGGCAGACTACTCGGCTTTGCTGTTGTCCTGCAAAAGTAGCCACTGATGATACACAAATGAACGGGGCAGCTGTGTTCTACAATAACTTCATTTAGGGGTGCCTGGCTGGCTCAGTCAGGAGAGCGTGAGACTCTTGATCTCGTGGTCATGAGTTCCAGCCCCACGCTGAATGTAGAGATTACTAAAAAAAAATAAACTTAAAAAAATAATAATAAAATAAAATAACTTTATTTATAAAAACAAGCAGATGGTCTGCTGGCCATAGTTTACTGACTCCTGCCATAAAATAACACAGGAATGATGTCGATAAAAAGTTGCCAAAAGACATTTTGCTAGCAACCTCTGGTGGCTCAGCCAGTTGAGCATCCAACTCTTGATTTTGGCTCAGGTCGTGATTTTGGGGTCCTGGAATCAAGCCCCGTGTTGGGCTCCCCGCTCAGTGGGGAGTCTGCTTGTGTCTCCCTCTCCCTCTGCTCTTCCCCCTGCTCGTGCTCTCTCTCTCAAATAAATAATCTTTTTTTTAAAATAAAAAGCTCAGTACTCATTTGAATACTGGTAATTCGTATAGTGCTTAAAATAACCTAATTCTCTAACCACCTTCTTGGCTATATCCTTTATGCCATTCAGGTGCTAAGCAAAAGTTTTCTTCACAGACAGTAGATGGCAGTTAACTTTAATTCAGTCTTAATGAACAACAAATTCAGAATGAATTTTTATAATGATGTAATTCTACAGTGACATGATTAAATCTACAAGGCCAGGGGAAAAATGATAATATAGCTTTAAAAAAAACCCAGAAGGCTATTCTTTAATGGTATAAGGCTCTACTATTAACCTGTTAACAATAGTATAGGGATGCCTGGGCGGCTCAGTCAGTTAAGCGTCTGACTTTGGCTCAGGTCATGATCTCGTGGTCCTGGGATTGAGCCCTGCCTCAGGCTCCTTGCTGAGCGGGGAGTCTGCTTCTCCCTCTCCCTCTGCCCCTCCCCCTGGCTTGTGCGCACGCGCGCTCTCTCTGACAAATAAATAAATAAATAAATAAAATCTTAAAAAAAAAAAAAAACAACCAAAAAACAATAGTATAAAAAAGGGGGAAAAATAAGCCAAATCTACCTCTGAGAACACCCACTTCTCTATGGTTTAAACCATATTATTTGTATCCAAAAGCACTCCTAAATGATAAACAGTGAGCAATAAATACTGTATTACTCTGGAGATACAGAATAAAGGAAAGCTTTAAACACTGGTAATGAAAAGGACTGAGTCCTTGTTAACTAAGCTGATGACTAGTAGTGTAGTATGGCTACTTATAAAAGAACCAAAATGAAGGGGGCTTAGCATAGGTAAATGAAAAGTAAGAGTTATAAGCGATCTTTTGTTATATACATATATTTTTAAAGATTTTATTTCTTTATTTGTCAGAGGGAGAGAGCACAAGCACAAGCAGGGGGAGTGGCAGGCACAGGGAGAAGCAGGCTCCCCACTGAGCAGAGAGCCCCATGTGGGACTCAATCCAAGGACCCTGGGACAATGACCCAAGCCAAAGGCAGATGCTTAACTGACTGAGCCACTCAGGTGTCCCTCTTTTGTTATATCTGAATAAAGGTCTAGTAATTTTCAAATGGAATACTCAACTTGAAACCCAAAGACTACAGAGAAGACAACAAAAATATTTTAAATACTTGAAAAAATAAACATGGGTGGGGTTGCTAGATTACTGCTGAGGAAATTAAAGAATGACTTGATAACTATTCTCAGGTAGTAGTAGATTGTTTCAGCATAACTAGTTGAGTCTCTAATCCTTAGTCCTTCCATCTCGCTATATTAATTTCTCCTCACAATCAGCTCTATACATGTAAGCCAAAGGCTAAAATCAGTAGCTCATCACTAATATGAAAAGAGTCTTGGGTGATTTGGGAACTCCTGGCTTACCAGGCTCTGCTCTCACACTTTCCTACTTATCCTCTACACCACCACTAGGGTCCATCTAACAAACTGAGCACAGCTCATATCCTGTCCCCCCTTTTATGCCTTGCCATCTGTTGCACTCCCCACCTGGAATGATCATTCTCCCTCACTTCTACCAGCTGAAATTCTCTCTGCCTCAAGGTCTAGCTTGAATGCCACTTCCTTCAGGAAGTCTGTCTGGTTTCTCCCACCCAGAACAAACTTTCCCTCCCTGTGTTCTCCCAGTACTTTTCTCCTGATACTGTTATGTAGTTTTCCAATCCTGCTTTTTATTATAATTATGCATGTGCCAAACGGTCACCCGAATAGATTAGAAACATCTGTAGGGTAGGGCCTGTGTACAGTTCTTCTTTGGGCCTAGCACAATGCTTGCATTAAAATGGCACTCAATAAATATGTGTTGAGGTGAACTACTCCAAGGAAAATACAAAGAATCACTGACCAGTTCTTTATATCCACAGACAACTAATCAAAAACAAATTGAATTAGCAGTTTGTTAGACAAGTTTTAATTCTGAAATACAAAAGGCTATGAAATCTTCTCAGGACAGTCTGTTTTTTAAGCTCCTTTTTCAGCTTTGAGACGTCTATCAGTACAACCTCAAATCCATTCCACAGGAATCATTTGACCTTGCGCAGAACAAAAGGACAAAGAACCTGGTACCTTCAGAAAGCTGAGGACCACAAAGGAGGAGGGATAGACAATCACAGTAAAGCTATAGCATCAACTACCCTACCAACCCTCTGTCCAAAATTAATCACAGAATACCCATCTACCAGTCAGACAATGTGCAAAGTGATGGGGCTAATGAATGAATCAGGGAGGTGAGCACCATGCTACTTACCTGTACAATATGACATATTCATGCCCCTGTTTTCTGGAGAGTCTGTAAGCTGGTGTCACCCTAGTTATGGCAAGGAGGGACTTCAGCAGCAGCGACAGTCTGTTGTACACCGTGTAGGAAACTTTAATCTCTTTATCACACCTGCGGAGCACACAGACACTATCAGCATTCGCCTACTCAACTCACATAGAACCAAGAACAGAAATGCAATGGATATAGAGGTGTTAGTTATGTTCTGTCTAGTGACTGAGATTCATCTGTTAGCATTATTCATGACTTCTGATAGAATATAACCTGCTTTGTAGCCCATATAACACCTTTCACAGAGTATTACAGTCAACAGAGATAACTGCAAATTAAGTGTGAGAACTGCATAAGATTAAATTTATCATGAAAACATGTTCTGAACTAAAAGTGTAGTTAGAGTTCTTTGTCAGTTTATCAACAGATTACTGAGGTAAGCAGAAGTTTTACTTTTTTGTGCTCTAGAACCAGGCAGATAGATACCAAAAGGCACCTAATATATTTTTTTCTAGCTTTGAAGCTGTTATCTAAGAAATAAAGCTACACACGTAAAAACAGTAATTCAACACTGCAATTATATTACTGGAGGTGCAAACAATTTCAATATAGTATCTTATGAGCTGTCTACCTCTCTGCATCTAATAGGAAATTTGAAGAAAAGTCTGTTTGGTACTAAAATTTTTAGACTAAATAACGTGGCAATTGCTTTCTCCTTAGAAAAGAAAAATAATACCCACACCTCACAGACTTATTATTAAAATTTTTCTTTTGATGTGTTGCTATTTCCTCCATTCTCCTACATACTATTCTTGAAAACTGAAGCTTCAGGCAGGAAATAAGCTAATTTGCCTTGAAGGAAGAAAATGGAGAAGGAAAATAACATGCATTTCCAATCTATGACCAACACAACGTGTAAAAAGGAGTAGTGAAGGGAAATCGTTTTGGATGTCTGCCACACAGAAAACAGACAACACAGAACAGTCATGTTACAAGAGCTCGCAAGGGATTTAATCAGAGAACTATCTGTACTCTGGGAAAACAACAAATCCTTTTCAGTCTTTTCTCTGCTCCTTTCCCTGTGGCATCTAAGTTTCTCTGGACTGACCCTCCCGCTGAAGGTCATCTCTGTGCCTGGGCTGGAAGCCAAGCACGAAGCAAACTGTAGCAAAGACCTATTGGCTTTGTTAAGTGGGAAGAACACCCTCCATTACTGATAACGAAGCCCCGCTTTTCACATGACATCATCTGCTTTATTCTCAGCTACCACAACCACGGACCCTAAGACAGAGCACTTACTTTTCATTCATTTCGAGACACCAAATCTCTAGCTCCATGGAATCTCCCTGTAGATGGGACAATTGAAAAATATTTGTTTTATTTGTTTTAATTATTTCTTTTATTATAAAGCACGATACAGTCACTATAAAAATATTGGAAAATATAAATAAAGAAAAAAATCAATTTATAATCCTAATCAGCCACTTCAATAACTAACGTGAGGGGTGCCTGGCTGGTTGAGTCAGAAGAGCATGAAGCTCTTGATCTCGAGGTCATGAGTTAAGCCCCACATTGGGTGTAGACATTACCTAAATAAATAAATAAATGAACTTAAAAAGATTTTTTTAAAATGTGAGATTATACTATATATGTTATTTTTATCACTTTTTCATTAATAAACATAACATTAAGTTTTCCTTATAAAATTCTACACCACTTTTAATGGTTGCATAGTATTCTACCATATGACCATCATTTCATCCAAACAGTCTCCCAATCTGTGGACATATAGGTCATTTCTAATTTTTCACTACTACAAACAACGAGATAAATAGCCTTGAGATTAAAACTTTGTCCTCACCCTAAATTAATTTCTTAAGACAAATTTCCAGAATTAGCACTGTTAGATTAAACAGTACTTATGCTTCTAAGACTTTTGCTATGTATATCCAAACTGCTCTTCAGAAAGGCCAATACTTCAGATGGAGAGAGCCTTTCCCTCCAATTCTAGAGGGGATATTTTTAGGTGACACCCACTGTTAAGGAATACCTTAACAAGCTCCTCACTTAAAAATCTTTTTAGTTGTGTAATGTCTTTAGCCAAACTGTTCAGTCTTTCTCTGGTGCTCTGAACAGACTTAGTCTAGTGGGTGGAAAAGAAAAACAGAAACTAAAGCCAAAATCCCTCAACCCTGTAACACTCCTATGTGCCACTTAGTAAGAAGGGTAGTCATACTTTTGAACACAAGTAACCTTATTACCAATCAATTGGAAGAGGGCTGTTCTTTTAGATTCTGGTGTAAACTTGGGTTAGTTTGTGGAATACAGAACTTACTTGTTCTAGATCAAAGTTAAGTATGTATCTTTAATATATCTTTTTCATCATACTGTCATTTCTTTAAATTTTTAAATTTTTTTTAAAAGATTTTATTTATTTGAGAGAGAGAATGAGAGAGAGAGAGCACATGAGAGGGGGGAAGGTCAGAGGGAGAAGCAGACTCCCTGCTGAGCAGGGAGCCCGATGCGGGACTTGATCCTGGGACTCCAGGATCACGACCTGAACTGAAGGCAGTCGCTTAACCAACTGAGCCACCCAGGTGCCCCCATCATACTGTCATTTTTAAATGACGTGATAAATTTTTAATTTCCCCTGGTCCCCCAAATCAAGGGAGGATGAACAGTAGGAAGTATGCAAGACAAGTTGGTGCAGTCTGTCTAGGACAATCGGAACATTTTATACTCAGACTCACCTGGGAAAGGAAAGAGTTCTTCTAGGGATTCCTTTAGGACTCCCTATGGATCACTAAGGAAAGTAATTCATAGTATAAACTGGCAATACAATAAAGAAGAATAGGAAGTTTTGTATTTTGGGGTGCTAAGGTTTCCATGGAATAAGTACTGACATCATTCATTCAATAAAATTCATCAAGAACATACTATGTGCCATCCCGGGCAATGTACCAGGCACAGAAGATGATTATCTATTCATATCCTGCCTCATTTCAAAAAGAATTTAAAGAACTACAAAAATAAATAAGATGTGGCATGACTGCTGACCTCAAGAATGAAAGTGCAAAGTATGAACAGGAACATGTATAAGTTATGTTGGGCACTTTACAAATAAGGATTAAATGAGAAAATATAAAACCCTTCAAGACTATGAAGTGTCATGTTAGTTTGGTGGTGTTGGTGCGGTGGGGTTAAGTAATTTGGCCAAAGTCACTCAGCTGGGATCTGAACTTGGGTCTGTATAGCTCCAAAATCCAACTGCCTTTTATTATACCACACAGCTTCACAATCTTCTAGTGGAAATAAATTAATAAACACCCAAGTAACAATATATGCCTTGATCCTGATGTGAAATAAGGTAAGTAACAACACATCTAAAAAAAAATCACAATACATCAATTATATTTTAGAAACAATGTCAACAAAGCACATGGTAAGTCTAAAGAAGGTAGTTACCTCTCCCCCGAGAAAGGGGGTGAATTTTCAAGAGCACATGAGTCTTGAAGGATAAGTAGAACTATTTCACATATAGTTGATGTATGAGGAGGACAAAGAGCCTATTCCAAGTGTTTGGGAGGATAAGTACAAAAATCTGACCTCCTCAGAGAGCGCTACGTTCAGAGAGGGAAGAGGCAGGAATGAGGCTGAGCTGGAAGCAGGGTGTGAAGAGCTTTGAGTGCCAAATGAAGACACCATCCTGGCCATAGCCTTACCTCAGAAGTCTTGAGTGAGATCTCCACACACATCGATCTCCCAACGGCAGGCAACTGTCCCGCCAGGGCCTTTTTTGCTTCATGTGTAACCTCTGGGATGTCTTTGATTGCTAAATTGAACTAGAAAACAAAAGGGACTTTGTGTTAAACACTTACAAGAAACATTACGGCAACTTAAAGCAGTGAGATGGTTATGCTGGCTAATGCAGGCATTGCCTTGAGTAATTAAGGACATTCATTCATTTCTCCCTTGCCCAGAAAAGATATCCTGATTCAAAGCCCCAAAACTCAGGCTGAAAGAGCTAATGACTTATTATATAATAAGATTAGTTAACAAGGTATTTTTCTAAAGACTAAGTTTTTCACCTATTGCAGAAGAAAGATGAGAATCAAACCTAGGACGAACATTCGATGAAGAACATACTTTCCAAGTGAATGAATCAAATGGAATTAGATATATTAATGTTATGATTTAGAATACTATAAATTGTATTCTTTTTTTTTTTTTTTAAAGATTTTATTTATTTATTTGAGACAGAATGAGAGAGAGAGAGAGCACATGAGAGGGGGGAGGGTCAGAGGGAGAAGCAGGCTCCCCGCCTAGCAGGGAGCCCGATGCGGGACTCGATCCAGGGACTCCAGGATCATGACCTGAGCCGAAGACAGTCGCTTAACCAACTGAGCCACCCAGGCGCCCCTATAAATTGTATTCTTTACAACTGCACTATGTACGATTCCTTATGACAAACATGCCTTAACAAAAAACAGGAATTTTACCCAATCTGAACCAGTTGGGGATGAAGATGAACGAGTACAAATCTTCTCGCCAAGTCGAGCCTGGACAATCACTTGGACAGTCTAAAAAAAAGGAAAAAACAAACAAAAAAATATCAAAGATGAACAGTCTTAAATTGATTTGACTCACAATCAGGGTTAACACTCTCTGAATGCAGGGTTAAAAAGATGCCAATGATCATAACAATACTTTAGGAAAGGATAGGATTTTAAAATTCAAGAACATATAAAAAAAAAACCATGACAAAAATAATACTGTAAATATTTCCGAGGGCATAATGTCAACTGATTAGAGAAATTTTAGTTTAAGGCTTGGGATCTGTAATATTCTCACATGGCAGAAAGAAATTTGCACATGGTGGCTCTGACTTCCATAAAGACAAGTCCAACCGTAGGTTTAAATATTCACTGCCGTACACTTATGTAATCATAGTAGATTTAAACCAAGGATTCCACACTTATTTATATCACTTGGCCCATATGGCAAAAGTCTCCCAACTAATTTTACAACCAGAATCTACTGCATGGATTGTTTTTTACATGGCAATCATGAGAAGGAGGAGTGATAGAGGTGGAAATGATTTTTATATTTAAGAAAATATAACTTCTAAAGTATTCAAAATTCAGTTTTAATTTCTCATTTACCCAGAAGGGAACAATAAATGGAAGTTAGACATTTCAGAGTTAGTTGATGCTTTGGGGAAGATGCCCAAAATGCTGTCCATTCCAGTCCACAATCTTTGTTCCCACCCCAAGGGAACATACTGTGCCAATAACCTGGCATAATAGTTTGACATTTCTGCAAACAGCCTTGCAAAAAAAAAATTTTTTTTGAACAAGTAGCTGTGGAAAATTGGAAGCTACTTTTTAGTTACACCCCCAGTACCGCCCCCAAACTTCACAGTTTGGTTTACAACAGACAGAAGTATCCCTTAAAATGGGCAAGCTGCAAGCTGTTATTCTATGTTTCCAAAAAGGGAGAAGCACGGAAGTTATTTCTAACAGTTCTGAGCTCAAGAGAATAGATAAATTACCTTGAGGGCAAAAAATTTAATAAACTTGTCCAGGTCCTTTCTGTCCTGGGAATTGAGATCAGTTTCCATTGCCTATAGGAATCTGAAACAGAAAAAAAAAAAAAAAAGTGTTGAAAAATGTGACTAGTATCTTTTAAATTCAAAGCATACAGAGATGGTATTGTCTAGCTGTGCAAACGGTCATGTGGGAGGGAAAAAAAATTCCCCCTAAGATACCAAAGTGAAAAATATTAAGATAGTATCTTTTGAGGAAAATAAATTGCTCACCACAAAGAGAAATCTAGGCTGTAAAATTTAATTCCAGAACACACACACACACACACACACACACACACACACACGAAAAGACCTAGGGACCTAAATAATGGATGAGGACAAGCCATTTTACCTGCATCTGAAACTTTAAGCTTTAAATATAACTTATCTATTAAAAATACTTCTACTACCCACCATAGTGAGGACTAAGTTTTAACAAGACAAAAACTCTGTTAAAACATAAAATGAGGGGTGCCTGGGTGGCTCAGTTGGTTAAGTGTCCGACTCTTGATTTTGGCTCAGGTCACGATCTCAGGGTGGTGAGACTGAGCCCTGTATTGGGCTCCGCCAAGAGCTGGGAGTCTGCTTGGGATTTTTTTTTTCTCCCTCTGCCCCCCGACCCCCGGCACATGCTCTTGCTCTCTCTCAAATAAATAAATAAAATCTTAAAAAAACATAAAATGAGATCATTTGTATTCCTTCAGAAGAGCACTAAATCAATTTAACTTTGGGGGATTCATGGACCCCTTTTGAGAATCTGATAACAAGACAAGCCCTTTCTCTAGAAAAATGCACATATATAGAAATGTTTGGCTGTTTAACTCAGATTATATCCCATGGATTTCATGGGGCACATCATAGCCCCTCAGGCTGAAATGATTTCAGATAGGGCTGGTATGAGGAAGAAAAAGCATTTAGGGAGAGAAGAACATGAACAAAGAGTATCAGCAACAGAGAACAAAATGGATTTGGAACTATTAAGTATCCCAGTTTTCTAAAGCACTATGTATGGATAGGGAAATAGTATGGCTGGTTGGGGCCAGATCATGAGAATCTTGAATGCATGCAAGCCTGATCTGTACCTAATACAACAGAAATGGGAGCTCCCTCAAGGCTTCTGAGTAAAGGAATTAACACAATCAGAGTGCTAGCATCATCTGAATGGTGCTTTAGAAAGATAGCTTTGCTGGCATATTGTAGAACAGTTTTGAGTATGAAAAGCAGGGAGACCAGTTAAGTCCTTGGCAATAATGCAGGCTTGTGGTCAAGGCTCAAACTCTAGTACAGTCATGGTTTGGAAACAGTATGGATGGGAGATATTTTAAAGGAGGAGCTGACGGGATTTAAGGACCAACTACAAAAAGTTTGACAAGATTTCAGTTAACAATAAACAGGAAGCTAGTTTTAAGGAAAGATAGAAGAGTTGAAAAAGGAAATTTTAAAAATTGAGATATAATACCACTCACAAAAATAAATTCAAAATGGATGAAAGACCTAAATGTGAACAGGAAACCATCAAAATCCTAGAGAACACAGGCAGCAACCTCTTTGACATCAACCGTAGCAACTTCTTACTAGCTACGTCTCCCGAGGTAAGGCGAGGCGAGGCGAGGCGAGGCAAGGGAAACAAAAGCAAAAATGAACTACTGGGACTTCAAGATAAAAATCTGTACAACAAAGGAAAAAATCAAAATTAAAAGGCAACCTAGGAATGGGAGAAGATATTTGCAAATGACATATATGATAAAGGGTTAGTATCCAAAATCTATAAAGAACTTATCAAACTGAACACCCAAAAAACAAATAATCCAGTTAAGAAATGGGCAAAAGATATGAATAGACATTTTTCCAAAGAAGACATACAGATGGCCAACAGACAAATGAAAAATTGCTCAACTTCACTCATCAAGGAAATACAAACCAAACCTACAATGAGATATTACCTCACACCTGTCAGAATGGCTAACATCAACAACACAAAAAACCTAACAGGTGTTGGTGAGAATGTGGAGAAGGGGGAACACTCTTACACTGTTAGTAGGAATGCAAATTGCTGCAGCCACTCTTGAAAACACTATGGAGGTTCCTCAAAAAGTTAAAAATAGAACTACCCCATGATCCAGCAATTGTACTACTAGGGGTTTACCCAAAGGATACAAAAATACTGATTCAAAGGGATACATGCACCCCAATGTTTATAGCAGCACTATCAACAACAGCCAAATTATGGAAAGAGCCCAAATGTCCTAATGGATAAAGAAATTGTGATACACACATACACACCACGGAATATTGTTCAGCCATCAAAAAGAAGGAAATCTTGTGGGACACTTGGGTGGCTCAGGTGGTTAAGTGTCTGCCTCGGCTCAGGTCATGATCACAGGGTCCTGGGATCGAGCCCCACATCAACCTCCTTGCTCAGGGGGGAACCTGCTTCTCCCTCTCCCTACCCCTGCTGTGCTCTCTCTCTCTGACGGGGAAAAAAAAAAAAGAATGAAATCTTGCCATTTGCAATGATGTGGATGGAACTAGGGTGTATTATGCTAAGTGAAGTAAGTTAGTCAAAAAAGCCAGATACCATACGATTTCACTCATGAAGAATTTAAGAAATGAAAGAGATGAACATGGGGGAAAAAAAGACCAAGGCAAACCATAAAACAGAACTATAGAGAACGAACTGAGGGTTGCTGGAGGAGACGTAGATGGGGGATGGGCTAAATGGGTGATGAGTATTAAAGAAGGCACTTGTGATGAGCACTGGGTGTTATATATAAGTGATGAATCACTAAATTCTACTCCTGTAGCTAATATTACACTATATGTTAACTAACTGGAATTTAAATAAAAACTTGAAAGTACAAAAAAATAAAAAATAAAAATAAATAAAAATGGGGTATAACTTACATGTAGTGAAATGCACAAATCTTGGGTGTACAGATCAATAAATATCTTATTGTTTTCACTTCTATTTCAAAAGATATTTTGTTTGTATACAACCATATAACCACAATTCAGATCAAGTTACAGAACATTTCCAATAATCTAGAGGGCTCCCTTGTGTCCCCTCAGTCAGTAAACGCACTAAAAAATAACCATTATTCTGACCTCTATCATCATAGATCAGTTTTATCTATTTTGACAAATCATTCCATTTATATAAATGGAATCAAACAGTATTAGCTCTTTTGTGGGTAGCTTCCTTTTTTCAAGTCATGCCTGTGAAAATCATTTATGATGCTGCATGTGGCACTTTATTCTTTTTCATTGCTATGTAGCACTCCACTTTATGAATATACCACAACTATTTTTTTTTTTTAAGATTTTTATTTATTTGACAGAGAGAGAGAGAAACAGCGAGAGAGGGAACACAAGCAGGGGGAGTGGGAGAGGGAGAAGCATGCTTCCCGCGGAGCAGGGAGCCCGATGCAGGGCTCGATCCCAGGACCCTGGGATCATGACCTGAGCTGAAGGCAGACGCTTAACGACTGAGCCATCCAGGCGCCCCGTGAAGGAACAATCTATTATAATAGCTTGCCTCCAAAGAAATGAGCATTACTCAGTCCTAGAGATTAAAACATTCCTCAAATGTCTC